CTCGTTCTGCCCCCCCCCCTTTTCTCCCCACACCGCGGTTGCCAAGAGCAACGAGGTAAATGACCAAAATACTCGTCCTGGCGTAAAGCGTGATTTTCTTTTCAGAGCAATAACCCGCTGCTTCACATAACACACCGTTGCACATGTACCCCCCCCCCCTTTCCATTTGACAAGCTGCCGGTGACGTCTGATTCCGCGACACGTAGTACGTCCGTCTGCACGCGCAAAAACGCGCAGGCCGGCCGACTGCAGCGGCGGCGGCAGCAGCGGGAGCGCGCTCTGGTGGCCGACAGTGACAAATCGGCTCGGCGGAGACGTGCCTCTCGGCCCCTGCGCTGCTGCCCCCACGTGAGGGGACACGTGTGCGCTTCTCTATCTCTCTCCCTCTCTCGCTCTTACGCCAGAGGAAGGCGAAAGCGGGGAGGGGGGAAGGGGGGAGGGAGCAGTTGTAATAAACCATATATTTTACCAGACTGTCATCACCTCGGCGAAAAATGTCCCAAAACGGGGGACCTGCGCAATCCATATCACGCCCACAGAGGGAGACAAAGTCAAAGATTGTTGGACGACTTCAAACGACACGCTCGTGTCTCCCTGAACTTTAAGCGGAACTGGGGGTGAGTGGTTTGTGAGCTGATGCGCTGTACTAGCACCCGTCCCAGGTACAGTATTGGGAAGGTATGAAGCTCGAAGCAAAGGATCCTGATGGATCCAGAGCTCGACTGGTTCAATGGCATCCACACCCGACATGGGCAACGTGCTCACTCCATCTCCAGTGTAAGTGCAAGTTGTGCGAGAGAAAAATTAGATGAAAAGGAAGAGGGGGGGGGGGCAGATCGCAGCAGGGAGTGGAAGAGATGCTCTCCTCCTGCTCGGTGTTCATGATCCTATAACAGAGGGAGACAAAGTCAAAGATTGTTGGACGACTTCAAACGACAAGCTCGTGTCTCCCTGAACTTTAAGCGGAACTGGGGGTGAGTGGTTTGTGAACTGATGCGCTGTACTCGCACCCGTCCCAGGTACATAGTCCAGTCAACAAAATTTTTACCTTACGGAAATTATA